GCTGCCACATACCCTTCCCCTGCACACAGCCCCCACCATCATGTCCCCCTCACCCCCAACACAGCCCCCACTGCCACACACCCCTTCCCCCATGCACAGCCTCTGCCACCACATGCCCCGTCTCGCACACAGCCCCTGCCACCACAAGCCCTCTCCCCAGCACAGGCTCTGCTGCTGGCATGCCCTCGGAGCGCTCTTGGCCACAGCAGACAGAGTCCCCAATGGCACGTGGCTCTGGCAAATCCTGGGGGCTGCACATGGCGGCACGGAGCCAACCCAGTTTGGCTTGCTGATGGTGCCTCTGGGCCAGACTGGGCTGGCTTCATGCCAGCACATGGGGCTCACAGCACTGCAGGTAGGAACCACATGCAGCCCCAGGCACTCAGCTGCAGCTGCGCACTGCCCGGGACTCCGCCCCTGGCTGCTGCTCACCCCCTCTCCTGCAGATGGGAGTTCCCTTTCCCATTCACCAGCTACACCTCGGGGAATTATGGGATATTATCTGAGTTGTACAGTCATACATTTTATGCACAAAGTTATGCGGGTACATAGTTGCATAATTCCCTGGGGTGTATGAAGTGCTAATAACTTGAGGCACTGGAGTCCCTCTGTGACAGCATAAACTATGCAAAGGCAGACAACGCTGTATATGGTAAATATTCAGATGCTGCTTTACCAGTGATCAACTATTCAGACATCCCAAACATGTATAACTTTCTATCAGCAGGTATCCCCTATTCATTTCATACAGAACATGCACCTGTAATACACTGCAACTGCCTCCCTGAGAAGCCACTCAATGTGCAGTTAATATCAGCCCCCTCCACCTGTTCATTCTACCCTTCACCATGTCTATCGTCATTAACTCATCCTCTCTTCCTCTGTCTTTTCTGGGATTGTCTCTTTGTTTATCCACATGCCTGTCTCATAAGGAGCTTTCTTCAAGATTTCGTTCTCAGTCTACCCCAGAACAAAGAGCAATGAGATTGCATTTGGTAGGCTGCGTATCAAGGTGGATCTCACCATGCACAGCCTTTGCTTTTGTGGCAGCTGCCTTGCTGTTTAAATTTTAAAAACCCAATTATTCCTAGGAAACAATAGGTCAGAACAGTGAAGCAGTCTCCCCTTTTCTAGTCTCTGTTTCTTGTGGGTGAGGCCAATCTACAATACTTTTTAAAGCAAAATGTAACTTTAAGGCAAACTAAAAGGAATTGAAAGAGAACAGAGCCTAGCAGAGGCACTAGAGCCTGGTGATGGGGGCTGTTAAAGCAAGTAGTGCTTCTTGAAGGTTGTATCTGATGAGGATTGGGAGCCCAGAAGGGAAATAAGGGGACTATACTCAAGGTGCACTGGAATGACTCTCAGAGACAGTGGGTGCATCTACACAAGACGTTGACTGCACAGTAGCCAAAAAATACTGCGCAGCAGCACATCACAGCACAGGCAGTGCTAATATGCTACTGTGCAGTATTAGTAGGCTACTGCACACAATTGTCACCTAAAAGAAGTTCACCAGTGCTACTGCACAGTAACTCTAGTTACTGTGCATTTATTTAGTACTTGTATTAGCAAGTACTAAATAAATGAGTAGTAATGACTATGCCGTTGCATCTCATGTAGATGTGCCCAGTAGGTGGGATTCTGGTCTTGGTCACATCACCATCACTGGAGAGTAACTCCATGGACTTTTCTTGGTATTACTCTGGCCATTACAGTGGCAAACATTAGAGCAGGCTTTGGCTGAGGCTGTACTCCCTAACCAAGCTTGCCCAGCTGTGATGTCTGGGCTGGAGCTCTGTGCCACAGAAGCTCATTTCTAATCCACTCATCTCTCCACATCCCCATTCTGCAAGTTTCTCCAAATGTTTTCTGCATAGGCTTTGGGAAGCTAATGCCAGGACAGGCATATTTCTCTGCTATTAAGCACTGGAGCGTTACAATAGCCCAGTCTGCCCTGCTGTTCTCAGGCTGCTCAAGGCGACTGCTGTGACAGACCACTCTTTATCCAGCTCTTTGTAAGTGTCTGCTGGATAATAGTCGCTTTAATATGTAACATGTGCTGTCTCCTGCCCCCGCCTTGCCCTCAGGGCTCCCCATGAGGAGGGCTTTTTTGTTCCCAGACCCCAGGGCTTCTCCAAGCTGTCCCCCACCACTACGCCATGCTGTCCTAATCTCCATATAGAAACCAGCTGACACACTTGCCCGCCCCCCCTTCTCTCCTCGCCTTTCTCTGTGAGTTCATTGTGATCAGCCTGCATTTCTTCCCTACCACTCCATCACCAGGGGGAAAGGGGAGGCTGCAATCCAGCTCACAGGTGCCTCCCAACAACCTGCTCCTAATGATTCCCACAGCTCTGCCTCCATGGGGATGAAGAGAGCTGGCCCCTCACCCCACCCGCAATCCCCTGTTCTCTGTTTGCAGGAAGGGGAGAAGGGAGGAGACATGGGGGAGACAGAGAGAGGAGAAAGAAAGAAAGAGAGAGAAGCAGTTTCTCAGAGATGAGTTGAGAGAAATTAAAATCTTCCAAGCTCCTTCCTCTGCAAATTTGGGCATTTCAGAGTGGAGTCTACCTGCATGCCTGGACAATTCCTTCACACTGTATGTGCGCGTGCTTATATGTGCTTGCGTGTGTGTGTGTGTGCTGCTGTCATCACAGATGTACCCCCAGCTGTCACTCCATGGTACTCCGTCTCTCCCTCTCCCTCCCCTTTCTGTCTGTCTCGCTCTCTCTTTCCCTCCCTCTTCCTATTTATTATTTTCAGAGGATTACAATCTCGTTCACATCCTGCCACCTAACCTTTCTTCTTCTCTGCACTTTGGGCAGTGCTAGCACCTGGATACATCGCAAAGGACAGGGGCTGATGCCAACTAGAGATTGTCAAGCACTCTCCAGGCGGCTGGCAGCTTCCACTGGATTTGCTTTGAGATTTGTAAGGGGGTTTGTGAGAGGAGCAGGAGAGCTCTGAGGAGGGTCCGTCCCAGGCAGAGAACAGTAAGTAGAGGTGTCTCTGTTACATGTTTGTGCCCTGACTATTTGAGCTCTTTCAGTGGGTTTTTCTCCACTGCCATCTTCTGCCTACAGGACTCCTGCTTCCACAGGGGACAGGTTGGCAGGCACTGACAAAACCGTCTGCGGCAAGGTTGTGCTCCTGAAACCTAGTAACAGGAGGCTGCAGGGCACCAGTTTTACTGCCAAGGCAGAGCTGCAGAGCCTACATGGCTCATGGCACTGGTTCTAATCCAATTCAGGTGCAGGGGGCTGGAAGAAGATGCTACCAGTCATGAATGGCACAGACATCTTCATATACAGCACTGACAGCATGAGTCTGAGTGACCGACTACTGCTGGTGCTGTGATCCATACGTCCAGGACAATCCCCACAAAATGCTCTCTATTTTCTCACCCAGAGTGACAGTGAAGGAGTCTGACACTGGTGGTGTCACTAGTCTGCACACCACTGGCTTTAGGGAATATTTCTGGGCTAAACTGCCTTAAATAAAAGTATATAAATGCCAATGTGAACGAGGACAGAAAGCTGATGGAGGTGCTGTCAGAGGACTGGTCCATCCAAAGTTCAGAATTCAGCATATGGGTCTTAATGTTTCCCTTCAGGCTTGCATTTTTTGGGTGCGTCTTTTACCCATAAGGCAGTGCAGGAAAATCCTGTCACAGGACATGAACCCAATGATGCCATGTCACTAGTGGAAGCCAAAAATAGAGCCCAAGTTCCATCAAGTGTCCCTGCAGGCTGAGTCCTGGGATTTCTGCTCCTTTGTGAGGGAGGCATACTGCAGGGAGGTAGACAGAAGGAGAATTACAGCCTTTTCCAGTTTCACTGCTAAGGGTAGATCTGCCTAAGAGAAAAGGGGTGCCAGGAGAGGAGGTTTGGAGGCAAAAGAATATGAAGATTCCTGCCGATGCTGCCTCAAAAAATGTGTGCGCGCCTGCACGCGTGCATGTGCACATGCATGCATGCCTGCATGTGGAGGGAGACACATGCATGGCACACAGTTTCCTGCCACAATGCTTCCATTTCATATTCTACCTCTTGTGGCCACTGCATCTCATTTCAAATAAAAGATGAAAGATCAGACCTAGAGCTGGATGCTGAGCCACACATCTCCCTCGGTTTAGGAATGCTTGGATCTGGGGCTCCAGTTCAGTTCATGACAGAGGCAGAACTGAGCCATGAAACTAGGATCTGGACTTAAGCTTCCTCAAGGATTTGATTTCCTCATTCAGGTCCATCTCCAGTTTGAAGAATGAAGTTAGGAACAGCTAACTTTGCTCCACTCCCTGGGACTATTCAGCCACTGAAGGATGTGGAGAAAATTTAAGCAGAGCTCATTTTGATAAGGGCTGGAGCAGATGGTGTCTAGTGTGCTGGGACACAACCCACAAGAAGGGGGACACTAAAAGGCAGGGTTGCCTTTAAAGCTACCTATGTACTTGTCACAACAGTAACCAAACAAAGGACATTTTTATATGTGTGTGTGGTGGTGGGCAGGGGGCTCTCCCTGAATCTCAGACCATATTTCCCCAGGGCTTTGTCACTAGGGTCCATTTTAGGACACCAGCTTTTCCTGTGACTGAGCGGTATTTGCTAGTGAATTATTCCAAATAAGTGAAGGGCCTAAGGGAGCAGTCTCCCTGCCAGCCAGCATGTGCTGCGTAAGGGAATATTGTTCACCTGGGGCTTTTAAAGGTAAATCCTAGAAGAAGGGATCTTTGGGGGAAGCCCTTTAGCCATTTTCCTCATAATAGACTGCTGTGCTGTCTTTGCTTCCAGCCTCAGTAATGTGCTGCTAGAATTTGAACATCTTAGTAAGCTACTTGGGCCTTCAGCCCCTCATTCTGCTTTTTAAACACTCTTTTTGCCTGTTAAATATTCTCTGGACCCTGGAAGACAGAAAAATTGTGGTGAGGAGACCTGCCACCTCCCTGGAGGGGTAAGGGGGGTACATGGGCAAGATGGTACCAAGACTGGACCATTCAGAGAAGACACGTGATATTAGCACTAAGCAACTTGGGTATCATAATGGGGGTGGGGAGTGCATCCCTTCAAGAGTGGGATAGATTTAAGGGTAAGGGTAGACCCAAAGACCCCAGGGACTGTTCAGTACTGAACCTGTTGCTGGTTCAGAGGAATTAATCGCTTACTTCTGCTTGCTAAATTTGGTTACAAGAATCTGATTAAGGTGTTTAAATCCTGGTCAGACACTTTTCCAAGTGCCTGGTGGGCAACAAGTAATACTCCAAGTTTGCCAAGGTGGCTCATTCATCTAGGTACCTTGTGCACCCCAGACAATAGCTGGAAGCACTAGACAATGACATGTCTGGGACCCAGGTAGAATTAGGAAGCGCTGGATCATGTCTAGATTAGACAGGGTAGGGCCTAGCTTGGGTATTGGAAGCTGCCAAGGGCCAGGTGGAAGGTTAATTTACCCAACTACATGGTAGGATAAGCAGCCCAATATGGAGCTCTGGGTTGCTGCAGCTAAAATGCTCCTGGCAAGCAACTGGGATCAAGCAAGCTAACAAGGGAAGCTCTACACAATGCTTCAGCCAGCCGTGTAGACCTACCCTGTGTCACACACCCGAGCCCCCAAGTGGCTTTCAGAAATGTTGACTCTAACCTAGTGCTAGCACTAACCCAGGGGATTGCTGATGGGAAGTTGAGTCATCTGTTTCTTTGTCACTGCTTCACATCCAGGCCAGTTTGGGAGGAAGTGAAAGTTGCCCCTATATACAGCCTTGCTGGACGTCACATACACAATTACATGTGAAACAATTGTGATGAAATGATTAAATATGGTGTTTTTTGTAAGACTCTGTCTCATTCACTGCCCATGATGGGCAGTGCTCAGGGAAGGAGGCAGCTGCACAATACTTTTGTCCTACTGATAAAGGTGTCCCCTTGTATTATTTACTTAGGGCGTGTCACCCAAAGCTTGGCTGCATCACTATTCAGTTCCTCAGCCTTTTCAAGGGTGTTCATTATTGTAGTATCTCAATGCCTCACAAATGGTAACAGATTTCTCCCTCTGTGAGTGAAGAGAGGATTACCATCCCTCTTTATACAAACAGGGAAATGGAGACAAAGAGACTTGGGCTGTACACTGAATCAGTGGTAGGGGCAAGATTAGAAACTCCCTACTTCCCCAACCCTCAGCTACACACTCAGTCCTTGACTAGAAGGGACAGCAATAATAAACAGTTCCCACTGGCTAGAGTTTCTGCACTTACATAAATCAGGCCCAAGGATCTCATATTGGACACCCATAAAAGGAGAAAAGCATAATTAGGGGCTGCATGCCGAAATTTTGGTTCAAGGAGCTTGCTCAGCATCATACAGAAGGCCTGTGGCAGAGACTGAGTCACGACAAAGTCTGGCATTGTAGGCAACTACCTCCACCACTGTACCAGGCTCACTCTTCCTGCTTTGGTGTGTACACATCTTTTAACCTGTAAAGCCAAAGCAGTTTCACTCCTTACAGAACCCATTTATCCTGTGCACTGGATGAGGCCAGGGTCCTGTGTAAAAACTAGCATGCAATTATATAATTCAAGACTGCATTATAATGCATGTACACAAGGAATTAAAACTGAGGTTGCAGGTGTGCCCTAAATGTTAGGGTAATGCAGCTGCCCAAGGAGGCCAAATTAAGGTTACAGAGGCAACTTTAACTGTGGCATATTCTAACTTAGAAGTCCTTCACTTTGCAACTTAAATGCCAGCCTTCTTATGCAGCTTTTAAATACACAGTGCCCTGGATTGTCTCTTACATGGAAAAAATGGAACGCAAATTCTATTACCTACAAACTTACTAACCTCTTGCCCCTGTCACTGGTAGAATTTAAACCTTAACTTCCAGCCTCTCAGCACTACCTGCAATACACAACTGACTGCATTAGTTAGCAACAGGGCCATTGTTCTGGGAAGGAGGAGATAAGCACTGGGACTCTAAAGCCATGGGGTTGGTTGGGCTCAGCTCAGCCCAACCCAGCTAACTCTATCTCCTCCGGCCTGGGGAAATGGAGAAGTTCTTTCCCATATGGTAGCTACATGGGGACATAAGTCTAGTGAAGGGTTGTTTGAATGGCCTTTAGCTCAAATGTCTTGTCCTGTTCCCAAAGAGATTGTCTGCTTATGGCATTTCCCAGAGCAGGGTTGTTTGTGGCCGCTGCTTTTGTGGCAGCATCAGGCCTGGAGTTTCTTTTTTTGGATCATTTGTGCTTGGTTATTTTGGCAGGCTGTGAAGGCTGCTGTACCCATTTCTCTTCTGAGGCTAAGGAAGGGCCTTGGTTTCCAGGGCTGTCAACGCAACAGCTTTCACGTGCATGAAGTTCTCACAAACCGTGAGGGGTAGCAAAGCAAAACATGGCCATTCATTTAGTGCTACATCAGTGGAGTACATCAAGGGCTTGGTAAGCAACTGTTCACCAGGGCACCCGAGGAGAAAACTAGGGGTAATGGCCACAAGCTCCTGGAAGACCATTTTGGGCTCAACATTAGGAAAAATTACTTTACAGTTAGGGTGTTCAGATTGTGGAATAAGCTCCCTCCAGAGGTGGTACAATCGCCTACCCTGGAAATCTTCAAAAGGAGATTGCATGGTCACTTTGCTGAGGTCACCCAACCCCAGTTGTCTTTTCCAGGTGGCTGGACCTGATGATCTTCCAAGGTCCCTCCCAGCCTTATAATCCACTAATCTATTTCCCAGTCCCTACTGGACTCCAAATGATAGAACTGGGGTACCACAGTATAGGCCAGCCCAGCTTGGCCCATTCTAAAGCTATGGGCTGTGATAGATGCACCAGCCAGGCTTGCTGAGCCATGAGTAATGTTCCAAAGCACCAGGTCATGGTGCATCAGTCCTAGTCTGATGATCCCATATCACCCTTCTTGAGTGGCAGGCTGGGATATGCATCCTGAGTCCTCCATATGGTCCTTTAGCAATTGTTCTGAAGATGTCCCCTTTGGAATCTGCT